ATCCTGGAACACGAACCCCTCCCACAGGATCTGAAAGTTTTGAGATCGTTCCCTGCTCGTGATAATCACAATCGGCACTATCGGCTCGGAGATCTGTCCGCACCTTCCCTGTTGAGAAGGAGCATAATGATCTTCGATGAAGAGCGTGTCTGCGCTCATCGAGCTGGAATGCGGGGGGTCTAGCCTCATGGATCAAGCTTCCCGAAATTTTATGTGAGACTAATCCCTCGCAGGATGTTGGATGATTTAGTAGGCTATTCGATTCGAGGCAGCGCTCTTAAGCCCCAGTTATGGCTTGAACACAGAATAAAAGATGGAAGAATTTGAACTCAAGCTCTATTTATTGTTATTGGCCTAATCATGTCCCTCGATACAATCGATTCAGACGTCTACGAGCTGCCCCTCGGATTCTGCGGTACAAGATGGCTCAAAAGGACTCGCTGAGAATACTCCCGACAATGGCCCATCTCACGCTCATATGGGTAGAAGTCACCGTTCCGTCAATGATGAGGAATGCTGTCAGAATGAAGAGTGGAGCCCCTGATCCTCCGAAGCCCGGGAGGAATCCGCTGCTTCGGCTAACATCTTCGGGAGGGAAACGTCTTTCGAAATCCTCCCAGATCTCTTCACCTCCGATGGGAGTCTTTCCTCTCCGGAGGCAGGCCACCGTAGGAGAGGCCAGACCAAGGCAGGAGTCTTCGCGAGTCACGCACTGGAAGGCGAAATTCTGGGGGCTTCTCGAAATCACGCATGACTTCCAGCCCTTCTCACAGATCCTCCCGCAGTCCGTTTCGTAATCGAAATGAACGGTTGACGCACCCACTAGCATCAGAACTGTCATAATTGCTCGCAGCATCTTCTTCTCTCAGGGCCTTGGAAAGCCTATGCTCCTGAACACTCTGGTGTTCTTCAAACAGGGGGGCTATCAGGCTCCTACGTCACTTCCTCTGGACGGATGGCTGGTCCCTCAGAAGACCTCGTAAGATCTGTATGGTCTGCCTCTGACTTCCCGTGGACGGTCTCTGAACCTTCTGCTTAGCACTCTTCTCGTTATTGCATCGGAACCTTCCAGCTCAGAAAGTACATCGCCACTGAAGAAATCCATCGGCTTTTAAAGCGAGCAGCTGCCTCTCCACTAAAGCGAGCGATCGGAAATCCCCGAGCGATCAAGCTCTCGAGAGAGAATCGGGATGGTGCCCCCGGGTTGAATCCTCTCTCAAAATCCGCCTAATTTCGTTATGCTGATCTCGGAATTCAGCTCGTCTTCTCAGAATGATCCTGTAGCAAGCAAGCTCGTTAAAGCTTGTTACCGGACTCGGAGCGGTCCCGCTCGGAATTTCGAGCTCAAGTTTCCGATCACCATTAGCACAGAGCTGCGAAAAGGGCGTGCGATATCGCAGCGGACAGAAGTTCGCTGCATACTCATTGCGAGACAAGCTTGATCAATTGAATTCATCGGGCATCTTATTGCTCTCGCAAATCCGGTCTCACGTGGGCTCTACCCTTTGCGGCTGCCGTCCGCGGAGAATCAGCTAGAATAATTCCGGGCAAAAAACTTCTTCCACGTATGCTGAAGCTCGGTATACCCAGGATGGAGTCCTCGGGTACAAGGATCGCAATCTCCTGAATTCATCGATTGGATGAAGTATTCTAGGCTCAAAGTATGCGATCCACTCGCAACTTTAGACCTCCGTCGATGCTCCTCCATCGAAGCAACCGCCCTACAGAGAAAGACCGATCACAACAAATGGAATCTCCGCTGCGAGCCCGTCTGTCATCATCGGAATGAGTCTCAATTCATGAATAACCGTCGGACCATCGCTCCACCGGCGGACGCTCAATCGGAGACTTCGGAATCACCGCTCTTCTTCGCACACTGCCGTGGGAGATACGGTTCCCTCCGGGCATGGCTGGATGCAGAAGGGAGTCATTCTTTTGACACCCCTCGAACTCTAAGGGGCTAGACCTGTATCGAAGCTGACTTTCCTTTGAGGAATATTATGAACTTCCGGGAATTATCGAGAAATCCCTGTCGAAGAAGTCTAACCAAGCGAAAAGAGGAGCGATGCTCGCTCGAACCTCTCTTCGCTATCGAGCAGCATGACATGGCTGCCTCTCGAGTCTTGATGCTGATCGTGGATTCGACGCACGCTCTGGATCGGTCTCGAGTTTGACTGAGCGTCGATAGAGGTCTTAGTTCTCGCAAGGTACATCGCGGGAGAGTAAGATTCTCTGCAGCCACCGTCAGTCAGTCGTTCCATGGATCGCATTACGGAGGAGTTTCCTCCATCTAAGATCTAACAATCGTTCCTTCCACGGCTCTCATGTGACTCTGCTGTGAATCGTGTAGCTTCCCGACAAATTCATGTGCGAAGGGAGCTCGGCTTTCGATTGTACAAGTTCACCTACCTATTATCAGTGACGAACGGATCATCGCTTTCGCGAAGTGACAGTGACCCGTCAGCGGGAATAGTTACTCGCTGCGTGCGCCACATATAACTCGATAATGGAGGACCAACAGCTCCTAATCAATACCTATTTGACCACCTTCGCACCTGAAATGGTCGCAATCGGCCTGAACGCATTTCTGTACCTCGTGATCAGGCGGTCCGAGAAACTTCAGAAATCGTCTCTGATCAGAAAAGATGTGGCGATCAGCCTCGTCATCGGTGGAATCGCGACGATATTTTTCCAAATTATCGCCAATTTCGGGAGTGAGTTTCAAGATCCCCAAATGAGTTCGACCTCGCCCTTGGGCATACGAAATACTTACCAATTTTCGATACGGCTGCCATGGCAAAGGGCTCCTAGCTTTTCCTCCATGTCCCGCCAGATAGTCTGGCGATAAGCCCTACAACTTGGGGAAGTCCTCCGCCATCGTTTTCGACCTTCCGTTGCGCTCTGATCAAGGTCTTCCCATCGGATTCGGATTTCCTAGGCACATACCTTTCAGGAGGCTATATGGATCTCCACTTCACCCTGTGCGCGGGAATGGCTTATGCTTGCCAAGTTTGCCTCGGAGTCATGCGTTGCGCTATCCTGGTGGCTGCTTACCATCGCTACGCGAGTATCGGCGGTGCAAGATGTGGTTTCAGTGATTTGACCTGGAGGGATCTGACCCTGTTCGTTTGGACTTTCCCCCTCGTCCTCGAGAGTCCTACACTTCTGAGTTTCGGTGGGTGCAAGTTCGTTCACATTTTCGATTTCCGAGCGCAATTCTTGATCAAGTCACTTCCGGGTGGGGGATATTCTCTGATGCGCTCCGCCGGCCATCGACCCGACGGCCGAAGGCGCTACCTTCAGACTTAAGGAAACACTCGATGACCTTCTCTAATAATTCGGAAACCTGCGGCAGGTATCGAATCCGGCATCTGCGGGTTTCTTCACGCTCATCTAGCTATGGCCTACATCACATGTATTGCGACGTTGGCAGTTGCTCCTTTACTGATCTACGGTGTGCTGCTACAACTGACGTTGTCGGCGCTGCCTGACAACGTCGCGCTCTCTGAGGATCAGCTCATCCTGAAACGTTCGACGAAAATAGCGAGAGGAGTTCTCGTAGGAGGTTTCGTCCTCTTCCTGCCCATACAGGTGAGG